ACGCCGTGCGCATGTGTGTGTGTGCCCAAGATACTGAGAGGAATACGGAGGAGAAGGGATTGTAGCGTGGCCATCCCCCCTGGGGGGTGATTTCTCGCTTTCTGTCTGTCTGTCTGTCTCTGTCTGGTGAGCGCACGTGCCCTATAGCAAAAACCTCTCCTATATATATATATACAGATCAAATTTTGGACACACAATAAATCTTCAATTCCCGGGCAATAAAAACTGGTTATTTTCTTCTACCACTCACCACTTTCTTTTTATGAAACCAATATAGTCTTCAGTTAGGTGGGTTTTTTTTGAGGTTTTTGCTATAGGGCACGTGCACTCACTGGAGATAGAAAGTAAGAAATCACCCCCCAGTAGGGATGACCATGCCACAATCCCTTCTCTGTTCTCCTCTTGGGATTTTGAGCACACGTGCACATGCGCCCGGCATGAGTTTAAGCCACCAGGCCTGCGACTTGAACTGCAGTTTGTCTACATGGGAGTCCAGCAACAGCTGGTCCCTTCAGTTAGTCTTTTAAGAGCATAGGTAAATAAGCCATAGTTAACACTCATTAGGAGGAAAAGTTGGCTTTTTTTTTTTTAAGGAACTATTTTGGGGGCCCCAAATCATGGTTATTTTTGCTGACTTATGATTTCCCTTTCTTAATAAACTGATATGCTTTCTGTTTTTTCCCCTTTCAAGCCCTGTACTTACTTTAGCAAGATACAGTGAATCTCTGACCAAAGAAACAAAGAATTCAGGCTTGGAGGAAACACTTGACTCCATATCCTTGGAAAACTAGAGTTGAAGCCTGAGGTCTGCAGCTAGGCTAGTCTTTAATAGATGGTAACTGTCCAGGTGTTCATTGCCCAGAAGTAGCAGGAAGGAGTAAGTATCCCTTTGGTTCTTTTTCGTAGAGTTGTTCCCTCCCAAAGGGTCAGGTTTAGTTGACTTAGCTTTCCAGTAAGTGTGATGAAGCTACTACTTTAGAAACAACTAACCTCCTAAGTTTATATTCTTTTTATATACATTGTAGATAACCTTATGGCTTTTGTTACATTTTTATAATGCTGTTTCATGTTCTGGTATGCAAATATCCAGTAACTGCCCTACCCACAAAGACTTTAAGTTAGATTCCCCACAGCAGAGAGCCTAAGAGCTTAAGGAAATGGAAGAAATTCCAAAATTACATTTAGTTAGGAGTATTTATGAAGAGTTTCATTTAAAGCTGTTCTCCCTAGTAGGAAAGATAGAGGGGGCAGCCCATGGCTTGGTTAGTTAGGTGGCTGGCTCCATCTGGCCAACGGTGTGATTTGAGTCTCAGACTGAGTCACTTGAACCTGCCAGGCATGTGGGTGTACATGCCCAAAATCCAGAAAGGGGAGGGAGATGGGGGAAGAAGGGATTGTTGTGTGATCATTCTCCATGGGGGGGTGGGATGGGGTTGGGGGGGTGGTACTACTTTCTCACTTTCTCTGTCTCTTTGGCAAGCGTACATGCCCTTTGGCAAAACTTTAAAAAAAAGAAGAAAGGGTAAAACAGAACCAATATGTGAGGTTGTCAGCCATCCAGGACATATATTTTGAACTACTTTGCCTGTTGAAAGGAATCAAGACACTCAAGAAATCCAATTTCCTAACAGATCTGGTACATGTGCTAAAAAGTTGATTTTTTTTCTTTGTATTTTTAATTGCCATAGGCTGTGCCCTTGCCAGAGAGGGAAAACGCACCCCCCCAATGGTACATGGTCTTGTCACAGTTCTGTTTTTCTCTTCTGTCAGGATTTGAGGCATCGTGCATGTGAGCCTGGCATTGTTTTTCAAGTTGCAGGGGCCTTCATTCAAATGATGGGATTCTTCTCCCTTAACCACTAGGCTACAGGGCTGGCTGAGCTGCTGGTTTTCTTGGCAAAATTAACACTATGTACTTTAAAAAAAATAATTAACTATTTCTTAATTTGACCAGAGAGAGACAGAATGATAGAAAACAAGCCACCGGGTCCAGGACTTAAACCACAGTCAGCCATGTGGGAGTCCAGCACCCATAACCACCTTGCCACCTGCTGGCCCCAACACTATGTTTTTTACATTTTTTTTATTTTTTAAAGGTTTTCGCTCTAGTTCGTGTGCGCTCACCTGAGAAACAGTGAGATGGGAAGTGAGATATCACCCCTGGAGGGATGGCCGCGCTGCAGATGCTTCTCCATTCTTCTCCTGGGATTTTGGGTACAGACACATCTGGCATGATTTTCAAACCACCAGGTCTGGGACTCAAACTGCGATTGGCCATGTGAGAGTCTAGTACCTTAACCACCATGCCACCTACAGGCCTCAGCACTAGATATTAATGAGGGTGTTCAATATGCAGTGGGTACTCTTGGTGTATAGTATCTTCAACCTCAGATTAGTGGGTTTTTTTTTTTTTTTTTTTTTTTTTGCAAACAAAATCTCAAAAACTGGTAATCTTACAAAGCCTTTATTTAAAAAATTATATAGGACATCAAAATTGACTTCTTACAAAGTATCACCTGACATGGAATTTTGTTAAAATGGACCAATATTTAGAAATAATTTTTTTCAGCAAGATGTAGATTCAAATTAATTAAAATTCAAGATTAAGGATTAAAATATTAGAAGGTTCATTCATCAGAAAAAGAGAAGTTACACACCTCTTAATTTCCTTTCAGTGCTACAAATTCCTATATTTTGAATGGAGGGGAATTATCAGATTAAATCCTTAACAGCCTTTCAAGTCAGATAGTATTTATAACAGGAACAGGCTCCATGGAGAAAGTAAGTAACTTAACTAGGGTCTAGTAGATGTTAGAACTGGGGTTAAAATGTGATTAAAACCTTTATTTTTCCCACATTATGCTGGTTTTGGTAGGTGCATTAAGAATCTGACTTGGGTTTGGGTGTGGGATTTTTTTTGACATGGAAGAATAATTTTAAAAAGGGAAAAGCAGTTGCTACTTCAGGTAAAACAAAACAAACTCACAACAGATTCTTTTCCAAGATGCTAACCAGTTTCCACACAAGAATGAGCCAGGAAGCAGTATGGCTGCCTAGGAGCTTTGCCTCCGTAATGCTCACAGCTGTTTTTCAGTAAAATTCCTTCATAATATTAAAAGCCGTTACTATTGTGGGCATCTAGAAAGGGCATTTGTATAGGAATTTTCATCCCTATCATAACCAGAAGCTACTCACAATGACCATCAAAATCCTTTGGTGTAATATGTACTGTAAAGTATGTGGTCCTCTTTTTTTTTTTTAATTGCCAAAGGGTGCATGCACTTGCCAGAGAGACAGAAGGTAACCCCGAATGGGGTGTTTTCATAATCCCTTCTTTTTCCCCTGTTGTCAGAATTTGGGACACACACCACACACACACACACACACACACACACACACACACACTTGGTGTGTTTTTCAAGCCCTCAGGATCAGAATTCAAACTGTAGTTGGCCATTTGGGATCCAGACTCTTTAACTACTAGGCTCCAGTGCTGGCCCACCTGAAACCTCTTACTATAAATATTACAAGCATTTTACAAATGAAGTTTTAAATAAGGTTAATAGCAACTAAATGGGAACGTGCAGCTTTGGTTTTTAGTGGAGCAGCATAGCCAAAGGGATTCCCTAAAACGTTATTTAGAGAACAAGTGAGAATGGCAAATGGCTTTATGCCCTCCCTGAAGCAGTTAAGATTAGGTACATTAACCATGCAGATTCAGTTATCAGACACCTGTTTAAGCTATAAAACAGGAATAATTGTAAGTCAGACTTTTTGTTCTGGACTACTAATGTATCATTTATAGACACTGAGGAAATACTGCCTCAAGGTATAGATATTCCTCGGTATTACTGCCAGCAGAGGAGGGTGATACAAAAATAACTTATTCTTCATTCAGTTTTTATTCTTTGCCATTAACTTTTGTGTCTTGTAAGTTGACTTAAAAAAAAACAAAGGGGACCAGCAGTTGGCATTAGTGGCTATGTCACTGGATTCCCATGTAGTCAAACGTGGTTCAAGTCCTGGACCTGGTGGCTTATACTCATGCTGGGTGCATGTGCGTGGGTGCCCAAGATCCCGAGAGGAGAATGGAGCAGAAGGGATTGCGGCCTGGCCATCCCCCCTGGGGAGGTGATTTATCGCTGTCTCTTTCTGGCGAGCACATGTGCCCTATAGCAAAAATCTCTCAGAAAAGAAAAACAAAAAAAAGTACTTCTTACACATTATATTGGTTTGTCAGAAAAGTCATGATGCAATTTTTGCATAGAAAACCAGAAAAATATGTCATCAGTTTTCCAGTGACCCAGTATAATCTACTCGCCTCCAGCCCCAACTTGCTCCAAGGAAGACAAACCCAGGG